TTGCCTCATGTACATGTGAAGGCTGGACAATGAATAAGGAAGACTGAAGAAGAAGTGATGTCTTAGGATTGCAGTGTTTGCAAAGAACACTGAATCTGTCACAGAATGGCAGACGTGCAAACAAATGTCTTGGAAGAAGAACAGTCAGACTGCTCCTGAGAAGCGAGGAGGGGAAGACGTCTCGCGTGCTTCGGGTGTGTTCTCGGGCTGGACCATCCCTGGAGAAGGGAGAGCAGAGGGTCAGTGAAAAGGATGGTGACCTTCAACGAGATGGACCGCCACGTGGCTGCAACGCTGGGCTCCAGCGTAGCGAGGACTGTGAGGCTGCTACAGGACTGAGCACTGTTTCGTTCTGTTGTTCGTAGGGTCACTGTGAGTTGGAATCAGCTCAATGGTGCCCAATAGCAAATATGAAAAATAGAATAGAAATATGTATTATGTAACATCAGTCAGGATTTTGGGTTTCTTTTCTTGAGGAAAAAATCCCAGCAGAACAGCTGGAATACTTAATAAAATGGAGGCCTGAGGAAGGCTCAGCAGTTGAGGTGATTTTAGGATTGCACAGACCGGCCCTTGGGCCCCAAACCGTTTGAGGCTGCTCAGCAACATAAGAAGGCTTGGACCACCCGGGGGCCTGTCAGGTTCCTCCAGTTTTGGAAACAGTGTGAGAACCGCATGGAAACCATTTCCCCTCGCCTCACCCCCACCACCGTCGTGTCAGTTCCAACTCAGAGCGACCCCCATAGGTTTCCAAGGCAGGAAGTCTTTACAGAAGTAGATTGCCTCATCCTTCTCCCTCTGAGCAGCTGGTGGGTTTGAACAGCCAGCCTTCTGGTTAGTAGTCAAAGGCCTTACCCCCTGAACCACCAGCACTCCATGCCTGACTAACCTCACTGCCATTGGGTCAGTTCTGACTCATAGTGACCCCTCCTTGGGTTCCTGAGGTGGTATCTCTACAGAAGTATGTTGCCCAGGCTTCCTTCCGAGGAGCAGCTGGTGGGTTTGAACCGCCAGCCTTCTGGTTAGTAGCCAAATACCTTACCCCCTGTGCCACCAGAGCTCCACACCTGACTGGCCACTGGGTTTTGTGGCCATCAGCGTTCTCTTGTGAGGTAACTTGGTGAGGTTGATCACATGGCTGGTTGGCCCATAAAGAGAAGAATAGCTGATATTTTCGCTTCAGAATCACTGAGAGCCGAGAAGGGCGCAGGGTACACTTTCCTTTTAAAATGTAACTTCCCATCAAACTGGAGTTTTAATGTTCAGTGTTATGCAACTGCGGTCCTGGGCAGCGTGCTTGGTTAAACCGCTCGGCTGCTGACCAAAAGGTTGGCGGTTCGAGTCCGCCCAGAGGGACCTAGGGAGGACGCCTGGTGACCCACCTATGGGGCCTGTTCCACTCTGGCGCTCACGGTGTCTCCAGGACTCGAGTCGACTCGATGGTGACGAGGGTTCTTAGATTATGCAGCTGCTAACGTCAACGTCGGGAGCTCTGGTAGCATAGTGCCTAAGGCACTTGACTGCTAACCAGAAGGCTGGCGGTTCAAACCCACCAGCCACTCCTCGGAAGGAAGGTTGGGCAATCCTACTTCCGTAGTGATACTGTCTCGGAAACCCAAGGAGGGGTCGCTATGAGTCGGGGCCAACTCGACGGCATATAACAACAACAACAACGTCAACGTCCACGACGGGTTTCTGAAGCCACGGTTGCTCTTTCTAGGTTGAACTGAAGGAGGCAGGCGGCCCGGTGCCAGGTAATAAACCCGAGGAAGCAGCCTCTGCGAACCCACATGCCCAGGAGGCCTGCTGCAAGCTCCCTTCATCTCAAGAACCGAGGGACCCCTCAGACTGTTCCCGTAAGGATGCCAATCCGATGGTAATTATGCACAGAGAGGTGCGGGTCACTCTGGCAGGGACAATGGGCTTCGGTCGCACTCACTCAGTAGGTTCTCTGTCATTATTTCTCACCCCGTTTACTTGTTGGATCAGCATTTTGGGGGGCACCAGTAAAGAGCCCTTCCTGCACCTCCTTTTCCCTCCAAGATCATCACGTCTGCTTACTCTGAGCTGTGGCTTTAGCGGGAGGACCACAGGTCACAACAGTCAGCACAGAGGTGGGGCTCGGGCACCAGGGTGGGGTGCTGCGGCCCTGCTGCGGGGTTTGGGGTGTCGTGGGTGGGAGGCTGGGGCTGGGGTTCTCTGGCCACTTCCCTGCCTTTGCCTGGCCCTCGCCCTCGACTCTTAGTGACCTCAGCTGACACGTGTGGGGGGTGTACGCCGTCTCATTGGGGGTCAGTGTGATACATTAGCGTGTCAGTTCATTTAAGCCTCATGGTGACTCTGAGTTGGGCATTATTTGATCCCTACTTTACGGATGTTACATACTTACGTCTTCATGGCTGGTAAGGGGTGCAGCTCAGGCTCCAGGTCTCCCTGTGTGTGGGGGGGACAAGGAAGAGGGGACAGGAATCCTGCCCAAGGGTTCCCTGCGCAAACTGCCTAGAGGCCAGAGAACAGACTATGGCCTTCCCCGCAGTGGCTCGTTATTCCGAGAGGGGCCCGGCTTGAAGGTCCACGTTAACCCTGAAATACCTGAGGAGCCCAGCTAGGCGCACCCAGGCCCTCTGTCCACGGTACAGCTTCTGCAGGCTGCCCGGACAGGCCCTCAGGAGGGTGCTGCTCCCGGGAAGGCCGGGATCAAGGCTCTGGTTGCATCTGCAGAGGACATGCTGAGCCTGTCCCCGAGTGTGTGCACGCCCCACCTGGGGGCCACGTGTGCGTATGCGTGTGCACATGCGTGTGCACACTCTCTGACTCCAAGCGCAATCACAGCTGCACACGGATGGTGGCCTCCTAGCCAAGGTCGGGGTGACCTGTGTGTGTTATTACCTGGCTGATAACCGGGTTCTTCATGCTTCTCTGGGTCTCCTGCCTAGGCTGTAAGCCACCTGAGGACAGACCCACCGCTTCTCTCTGCATCTGTGGTTTTACCTTGGGAATCGGAGGCCCCTGCTTCCAGTTGGCTCACCTGATGGTGAATATCCCACTGGCCTGCCTGAGCCTGCTGCTTGGACCCAGGAAGAGGGGCTGGGCTTCTTAGAGCTATCAGTTCTTGGACGGTCCTAAGCTGTACTTGCAGGAAATAAAATGGACATGAAAACAAAGCCACATGTGAGGCAGGAAAAGCCAATGGCACTAACGTGAAGGAAGGCTCTTAAGTGTGTACAACCCCAGGATCTCAGGGGCTCCATCAGGTTCTGTCAGACCCGCAAACCTGGTCTTTTTTTTTTTTTTTTT